TATGCTATTATTTAAAAACTTTCATTTTAACAATATTTTGTTATGTAATATTTTTTTTTTAGGTAAAAAACCAACATCTATACCATTAACTGATGATGATACTGAAGTAGCAAATTCATTTCCTGTTGATAGTCCAACAAATAAAACAGCACCATTTATTATTCCACGACCACCTCGAACTCGTCAAACACCTGTAAGAATCAATATATTCATTGTTTTTTCTTTTTCATATATTCCCTATTTCCTTTAAGCATAATAATTTTTCTTCTTTTTATCATTCATCTGAAAATAATCTTTCTATTATACAACCATATGAATATAAAATTAATGTAAAAAAATCAAAATCAGATTTAATTAATTTTAAAACTAATATAATATTTCAAGAAAAATATTCATCAAAAAAAATCTTTCAAATTCGTTTATCAATTATTGCATGTATTCGTTCAATTTGGAAAATTTCAATAAAACGAACACCAATTATTTTTCGAAAAATTTCTCCATTATCAATAAGACATAAAATACCAATAACAACAAAAACAAGTTTAGGTTTTTCAACAAATCAAACTGAAAAAATAATAACAAATAATTTAACAAAACAAATATCAATTTATTCATTTCATACAGCTCGAGAAAGTTTATCTAATGTATCACTGAATGATACAGAATCTATTCGTAAAAAAATTTTTCAATATAATTATTTAAAATTATTTTCCTAATACTAATAGATTCATTACATAGTGTCTCAATGAACAATATTACTCTTAAAATAATTAATAATCATTCATCGGAATTTCCTCCTCGTCTTATTCCTCCATCGAATATTAAATTATGGTGTCGTACACGAACATATAGTGATGAGGTTTTATAAATCGCTTTATGCATCATTATTATTAAGTCTTAAAATAATTTTATCCAAGCTAAGCAGATAAGATTATTGATATTTATAATAAATAAGCTTTTATAAAGAAGAAAAAAGTATCTCATTGATGAATTAAAAGAGAGTTTATATTTGGAGATAGTATTAACTTTGTCAGGGTGGGATTCTTTTTTATTTCGAAACAAAAATTATGAAACACAGAATTAATTAAAGTGACATATATTTCATTTCGAATCAACACTATTAATCTTTCAAAAACTAGTACGGTGTATATGTATGTCACTCGTACCACATCATAGAACAATCCCAGCTAGATCAATTCTTTTTCTTATGAAGAAAGTTGAGACATTTTTATTGTCTTCTTTAATTGATTATTTAATATATTTTAATTTTTATTATTATACAATAAGGTGATATTTCGTTGCCGTAAACAACCTCTTCATACAAAAGAATACAATAGAATAAGTATTGAAAAAAAACGATTCTTTTTCTTAACTGTATTAACGATAAGGAACAACACAGTAACAGTAATTATACTAAATTGATGAATCATTTTCGTATTACTATTAAAGTTAAACAACAAGAAAAAGAACTGTTTGTTTTGTACTTATTCTATTGTAAAATGTAGTTTATACATTGTAAATCTGTTGTATTTTTGTCTGAAGAAGTTGTTTATAGCAATGAAACGTTACCTTATTGTATAATAATAAAAATGTCTATGAATTCAGCTGGACCAATGATCTGAACTAGAGACTTGCGAAAGTGGGATAACATGGGAAAGAAAAGTTGACGAGACTACGAGAAAAAAAATCGTTCCGACCGGAACTGAAGATTATAATCAAATATTCTATAGTTTTAAGCGAATTATTTTGTAAATCAAAGCATAAGCTGAGAAAGATGACCCGAAAAATAACGACTAAATAAACAAAAAAGAAAATCAAGTATTGAAGAATTTATTTAGATATGATATAAATCAAAATCTGGAATAGTTTTCTTCGGACTGGAACTAAATTAGATTTATTGAAGTCATTACCGGAACCAAAAAATCTTAATTCTGTACATTTCTAATTTAATTTCTTGTTTGATAATGTTTAAATATAAATTGTTTAGCTATATTTTAAATAAAAATCGCTTATTTTGCACTTCAGTAGAAAATACAAAGTTCAATCGATTCATTAAATTTTTGTATTTCATATCTTTTCTTTTCAGCAACAACAACCAACAGTGAGTTCAGTTGGTCCATCAATTGCAAATGGTCGTATGACACCATTTACTGGTCCGAACAGTCAAAGTTTTTCTAATAGTTTAATAACATCAACAGATCAACGAATATCTCCATTAACAATTGGTGCTAGTGATCAAATTCCAATAGCAGTTGCTTTTCAAGAAACAATTCATGTTATGATGACTGGTGATGATCAAACAAAGTAAAAAGAAATGTTTTTCCTTTTTGTTTTAGTTATAAAATATTTGTTTCTTTTTTATTTCTTATCAGATGGAAAATTCGAATTCTTGGTGATATGCTTGTTTCATTTCCAGCTGCTATTTTAAATTTACTTGTTAATCCATCACCTATTTTAAATACATTAGAATTTCGTTTACAAAATTTAAATAAAGTAGAAAATATTATTGCAAATCCTCAATTAATTACATCGTAAGAAGACAAAAAAAAAATTTTTCTTTTTGATCAATTGGTTTTTCTTTATTTCAAAAATAGAAATCAATCAATAGAAGAATCATCGGATGGACCAACTTATACATTTAATATGTCAGCATTAAGTAATATTCTTCGTAATTTACAAGAAAAAAATCGTTCATTACCTTTTTTTAATTTTGGAATACTTAAATATGAAGTGAGAATCTTTAATTTAATTTTCTTTTTTTGTTTTTTTGTTTTATTAAATATAACAAAAACAATTTGTTTTTTTTATTATCAAAGGTTAAACATGCAGGAATATCAAACATTCCAATACAAGTATCATCACAATGGACACGCACATTTGATACAATATCAGTTAATATAAATTATCGTTTTAATAGTTCGGCTTTACCAGAATCAATTCGATTAGTTAATGATGTCGTTACATTTTATACAATAATAACAGATGGTCAACAAATAAATCAATCAATACCAATGGCTGAATGGTGAATATTGGTTTTTTTTTGTCTATGATTTATGTTCTATATTGATAAAATAGGTCTCCGGCTGAACATAAATTATCATGGAAAGTTCCATATATATTTGATGGTTCAGGGAGTCTTACAGCAACTATAATGACAACGCAATCAACAACAGATAGTAATGAAAATGATCAACAACCAAAACCATTAACAGCATCATCGATTGTACATGTTCAATTTCTTGCTGAAAACGCATTATTTTCATCAATCAATTTTGAATTTGCATGTCGAGGATATCGAGTATCATTACTTAAAAAGAAAATTTGTAGTGGTAAGTTTTCAATATTGAAATGTAGGATTATAACTTTGCACCCATCCTCTCTCCTATCCCACAGACACCTTAGCAATGTCTGCATCTATTTTGATTTATAATATATGCAAATCAATTGTGTTTCACTTTTTAATCCCGCAAGGATTATGCTAACAACTTTTTTCCTTATCTCTACATCCTGTTACGTTTGGTTTGAAATCGGAACAAAAAATTTTGACGGTTGAAAATATTCACTTTTGTTTTTTTTTGTACAATCGCGATTCCTTCGTCATCGCTATTAGATATTGAATTGAAAATGAACTTTCATAAAACTAAGCGCCCGTTCAGTTTACAGAAGGCTGTGAATAGGCTTCACATAAGTGGGATCGACTTCTTTTAATCCTGATTAAAATTGTCTTAGTTTCGATCTCGGTTTCAGTTTCGATGGAATCGCGACCGAGACTGGCGTAGAAATATATTCAAGTGTCGGATGCCGTTTGACTTTATATTATTATGGCTACGAGTAGGTCTATGTGATAGTAATTAAAGCAGAAAGGAATTCAGGTCCATGAGTTGATGATGAAGAGTTAGGGTCGTTTGAATGAAATCTTTACTGAGAACCAAAGCATTTCCGAAAGATCCAACAGAAAGAGGTTTGAGTTGGATTTTTGCCTACAGGCACGACTGATAGTCATTATTCTCGTGATGTTCAATTTTCAAAAAAACACAGTGGTTTACCATGAAAGGATACAGTGATCATGTGTACTTGGAAATTGAATATTTCAGGTCAAAATACTTTGTTTCGGATTTTTTCCAAAAATGTCCTACTCTCAGTAAAAATTTCATTCAAACAACTCTAACTCTTCACCAGTACGTCATGAACCTAAGTCTCTTTAATCTTTTCTTAATCTCACTAAGACCTATTCATACCCATAATATGAAGTCGAACGGTGTTCGATAGTTTTGTATATTCCCTCGTGAAACCAATATTGTCCATGTCTAGGATGGATTTATATTAATACGACTCATGAAAGGATAGAAGAAGATATAACTTACGCTTGAAAACCGTAACATTTGATTAAGAAACGATTTCTATTTCTATATTAACTGCATACAGATGATTTCAAGTTGACTACGTGAATAATAAACAGTCCTACTTCTTAGTTTTTAAAAAAAAATCTCTCGTATTATTATTTTTTTTCATTCTAGGTAAATACCAGTCAGAGCCAGATCAAAATGAACCATTACATTTCTTTAAACGACCATCACTTGATCAAAATCGTATGTCTTTATCAACATCACTTGTTGCCTAATATTCATTTTGCTCATCATCAATGCAATATAATATAAAACATTTCGATAATATTCTTTAGTTCTTTTTTTCACATAGTCTTATAGAATATTGGAAGAATGTGTGTGCGATGTTAGTGAACAGTCCACCTATTTTTGGTTTGTTATCTTTGAGAGATATGCACACTTATGTTTAGTCGATATCATTTATTATCTAGCCACAATTTTCTGTTTTCTTATCTGAGCACGCAACCAAACAAGAAAAAAATTCATGCGATATGTACATTTATTATAAATATATATATTAAATCATTTATCATTGTGACCTTTCATTCTATTTATTGTTGATGAATTTACAGATGAAAGAAAATCAAGAGAATAAAAAAAAAAACAGAGAGTCAATTAAAAATCAATTCCATTTGTCATTTTTTCTTTTAATAATATAGTATTTTCTAACCATGTTTGACGAAAACGAAATGTATCTGGATAATGAATAAGTCGCATTGTTTCCAATACAAATGAAACTTGAATAGATGTATTCTAAGATATATTAAATTTAAAACTTTATGAAATTATTATATTTATTTACTTTCGGTTTAACTTTAGAAACATCAAGAGTAAAATATATAGATACTGTTTGTCTTGGTATTGGTTGTCGTCTTGTTGGTATTGAATAACGAACCTATCAAGAAATATAATTGAAAAAAAAAAAAAAGATCATTTTTAAAAAAACAAAAGAAAAAAGGTTCTATTTACTCGATATATATAAAGATCATTAAATTCAAGAGATTTTTTTTCAAGAAAATCAATTGCATATAACCAACATGCATCTTGACCACCGGGTGTTGTTTTCCATTCCTTCAATAAATTTCAATCATTTTTTTAATGCTGTTTAAAAATTGAACAAGCTTGGATAGGGTCAACTTCTTCGTTAAATAACACAATAGTTTTATGATAATGTTCATTTCGGTACCTTTCGTGATGCCAAAGAAAGAAACTAACGAACGAACCTTGAAATATGATAAATTTCTTTTGAAATGAGTCTGATCTCATTAGGTATACAGAGATCGATGTGTCTTGATTTTCTAAATTTCTTCTTATAAGTATTTTATTTATTTTTTATTATGCATCAATAGTGCTGCATTGTTTGTACTTGAAATTTATTTTTATAGAATAATAGGTGTATTCAACGTAAGTACAGTTCAAGATTCTTTTTACATATACGATAGTTTCTATGCATCAGCCACAAAAGTATGTTGAGTTTTAACATGGAGATTAGCCGATTTCTCTATGGATATTTTTAAGAAATATTGATTAGTTAGAAAAGAGCATTTGAAGAAAACATCGTTGAGCAACAACATATCGAGCTACATACTTCAGACTAGAGAAAATCTACAAGAATTTGTGTCTATGATTCTTTCGTCTTACGCTAATGAGTGTTTCAGAATAAACTACACTAAATCTGAACGCCTTTCATAAGCATAAAAAGTTTTCTTTATATGCTAAGAGACATAGAATTTCAAGATGTACAAAAATGTCGACTTTATTTGTCAAACAAGTTTAATCTTGTCGACGACAAATTTAAAAGATTCATATCTAATCAGTCATTCAACTGCGATTCTTATTTTCTGTTGATATCTATTTATTTTTGTCAAGCCTTTCCTTGTTAAAGTCGATGTCAAAAGTAAATTACTTAATACCAATAGATAGAGAATTTTGTGTTCTATATCTTCACAACCTTTAGACGTTTCTCGGTATTTGTGTGCATTTTGGAAAATCGCGTTGTCAAAAGCCAGACTTACTCTATGAAATATTTATTATTATGCTGTCGGATGTAGAATTTAATTCTGAACAAATCAGTATAAATATTAAATTGAACAGTGAAAATGTATAAATTGTTTAAAATTAGAAAACAACAATGCGATAAGTTTACCAGAAAAAGAACGTTTTTAGTGATATTATAACGTTGTTTTTTTTACTTCAAAACTGTTTCTTCTAAATTTCTTAAACAACTATTGAAAGATGCAGAATTCTACGGGAAAATTTATGAAATAGTTGAACTTTTATCGAGATCTTTATTAAAAAATTGTCATCGATTTTTTTTGTTTTCTTGACTATCGCAGTCGGACGACTGAGTAGATATTCCTCTTCTAAATTTTGTGTCAATGAGAGAAAGTTGTTTGAGAAACAAAATCGACAATTTTGTAGAGTTTGGAATTTTTTATCTTTAGGCATACAAGGAAAATTTTTTATGATTGAGAAACAAGGGAAAAATCCACTGAGATTTAGTGCAATTTTTGCTGAGGCATCCGTTATAAGTAGTAGATGTCATGTTCACTGGTCTGAACGATATTAAACTATAAAATAGAGCATAAAAGAATATGACAATCTTTTAAGACAACATCGATAGCACACAAAAATGTAGTTTTTATCTATGTTGCTTCATATCTCATAGAGAAAAGAAATTATTACAAAGATATTACTTAGAATTAATACTCGTCATATGTTTTTATTTTCTGACTTTTCATATAAGTAAATATGATTTTTATTAAAATCGATCACATGTTCTAAAACTTCTTGAACTAGATTCTTTAAACATAAAAAGAAATCTACCTCTTCAGAAAGTTATTTATATTTAAAAATTAGTTCATTTATGAAAATGATTCCGTCACAAGAATACTTTTTAATTCATTTTTAGTCTAAACCTTACTCTTTGAATAAGTGCTCTCGCGTTACACTCTTTTATGCTCTATTCAAAGAACTAATTGGCTTTTTAATGAAAATTTCACTTTCATTAGAAAGACCATGACGGAATCAGCATCGAGTACTCGAGTTACTTGGTGCAAATAAAAAATAGGAATTTCGTTTTTCTCTCAGATTATTATTTTCGATATAAGTTTAGATAGGCGAAGAAATTTTAGAAATTTACTGCCTAATTCTGAAGTTGATTTATGAAAGTTTCGAGTTATTTGCATTATTAGAATTAAAGACAACATTTCAATCGTAATATCTGATATGCACATCATGCTTTTATAAAAGAATTTTTAAGTCAAAAGAAGAATGATGAAGTTTATTTCGAGGAGCTAAAGTGAAATATCTGAAGAAATAAACATCGAAGAAAGCATGAACATTTGTTAAAACAGAATTCCAACACAAAGCATTTTCCTTTCTTAAAATTCATTCTTGTATATTTTTCAAATTTTCTTTTTCCATATATATAGTGTATCGTCTAAGCAACAACTGTTTTAGTTCTTTATAGAAGACTTAAACTCGATGTCTATTTTTGGTGATTCTGTCACTATTGAAGAGATCGTATAATGAATTTTGTTAACAAAAACTCGTACTCTGCGTCAGATCACCTTCAAAAATGATTTTTTAGTTCAAATCTTATACAAATAATATTCTTAATGGGACTAGTTTATTTAAAAAAATGTCAAATCTGATAGTTTCTGAATAAAATTATTCTCATGAAGAAAATTATTTATTGAAATTTTGGGCTCGAAAGTTTATTCTGAAAGTGACCTATGAGATAGTACAGCATTCCGGCACAAAAACTCATAGTGGCCATAAGTTAAGAGGAAAAATTCCTGTCTAAGAATCCTCTAAGATTATCTCTAGTCTCAATAACGCCTGCCTAATGAAGTAAGACTCATCTTTAAAAAAACTGATTTATTTCTTTGCGAGGTTCTTTCATAATTTTACTTTAATTAAAATATTTTTCGTAGAGGCATGTTGTTCATTATTGAGTCCATTCTAAGATAAAAACTCATTGTTTCGAAAATTTGTATGTTCAACATTTTTTTTTTGATAAGTCATTCAAAATTTGTTTTTAATCAAAATAATTTGAATATCATACATCTACATGAATATGTCTATTAAACGAAATCTTTATTTACTTTTTCAATATATTCAGTAATTTTTTCTATACCAATATTTTCATTTATAAATTCAGCAATTGTTGGCCATCTTACAATCGATTTTTCTTGTAACTTTTTTTGCCATTCATCATTTTCTAATTCAATAAAGCGGCCTCGTTCATGATTATGTCTATTTTCATTTAAATTTTTATCAGTTGTATTTTGTACATTAAGTAATGATTGAGCAAGAACTTCATCAACAATACGTTGTGCTTCATATGCAATTAAATCATAATCTTCAGATTGAAGTATAGACTATGAAAAAAAAAAAGAAAGACAAAGAAAAACAATATTAATAATAATAGAAATAACCTACTGCAGGTAAATCAATATTGTTGACAGCCATTGTAAGTAGATAGATTTGTTAATTAATCAAAAATATAAATGTTTAAATATCTACGGACATTAGCAACTCAGTTACCATGGTAAATTATTTTCAATTGATATCAGTGATTTGTAAATAATCAACCAATAAAAATGTTTTGCTTTCATATCCATTGAATACCTTTGTTTATTTTTTTTCTTTCTTTTTTCTTGGCCTTGGTCCTATTAAAATATTACTTTTTATTGTATTCTATAGAAATTTTAAAAAAAAATGTTTTTGTGATTTTGAGACATCATGTATTAATTATTTAATGTGAAATGTTTAGTAATACACAACAAACTTTGTGGAAGACAGAACATTTCATACCTGGTCGGTAAGATTTTTGTTTATAGAAAAAGAAAAAAAAAATTAAATTTTTTTATTTTTTTTTTATAAGATCCATTTTTGACGCACAAAATCCACCTCTTTCATCAAATCTATCTACCAAATCTATTATAACAAATTCAATAATGTCAAAAAAGAAAGATCAAGAAAAATTTACTGAATATTCAATAAATACAGATGATGCTTGGGAAATCGATGATGGAACAATGACATCAAAACTACTCGATAATAATGTAAATGATAATTTAGATATTTCCAAACAGGTTTGAAATTTTTTTTGATTGAATACAAAAACAAAATTAACTGTTCGTTTTAGACAAATGCAGAAATACCACCAAAAATTATTCAACAACAAAAATTAAATACAGCTACACTTGATTCATCAACTGGTAATGAAAAAAAAACCTTGATTCATTGAGTATTCTGAATTATCCTAGGAGACAATATGACAATGCAAATTAATAAAATTTTTTATGTAAATTGAATTATTCATCTAGTATATGAAAATTTCTGATCGATAAATTATTCCTAAACTAAGTGATATAAAATATAATAACAAGAAAGAAGAACTCAAGGGATTTCTATCCAACTAAAATAAAATAAGAATTTATTCACCTTAAGTCATGTCACGAAATTCGACTTTCGGATGAATTTTTGTCAACAGTGCAATTAGATCATATAGTAAAACTAAAAAGATACTTCTGTCAGTCAAATTAACAATAATATATACTAGTTCTATGATGAACAATAGTGACAAATGATATTTTATTTAATAAGGTCAAAGTCACTATTAATAATAAATTCAGACGTATCATTAGAATGCATAATTAAAGATAATTCTTTTTCTTTTAATATTCGAACTCTTTCACTTAAAAATGCAAGTCACACTAACTGTGTATTAAAATGGCAATATTCATTAAAAATGAATCTATAGAATAAAAATAGATCAAAAATTTTTTTTCTTCTAGTTCGAAAACCAACAAATCTAAGTTCTTCATATCCAGGCATTAGTCGACGAATCGATGATAATCTAAATTCAAAAACATTAATACCTACGCGATATACAAATAATACAAATATAATTTCATCTTCAACAACTAATAGTACAAGAGTTAATTTAGTTACAATAACTGATATTGATCATCAAAAAGAAAATAAATTTAAACAAATATTTGATCAATCTACAATTGATCTTAGTAAAAATTAATTTTTTTATTTTCGATTATAAAAAATTATTTATTTTTGATTTATTTAGATAAACTTCGTAAAGCTAGTTGGAATGGAATTCCACACCAATATCGTGCACAAACATGGAAATTACTTTGTGTATGTTATATTAATTTATTTCTTCAGTTCATTCGTTTTATTTTCAGGGTTATCTACCACCAAAAGTCGAACGACGAGAAGATACATTAACACGAAAACGTGATGAATATTGGTCATATGTCAATCAGTATTATCATACACGTACTGATAGTGAACATCAAGATACATTTAGACAGGTTCATTTTTACCTTTAAACAAATCGATTATGAACATTTTTTGATATCTAATTCTGAGGAAAATGTTTTTATTTTTTATGGAAAAAAAACCAGTAGTCTCGGTTTAGTATTTTATTCAGCATTTAACTCAGTCTATATGTATATTATACGATGCATGTATTGTTTCACATGGAAGAGGGATTTACAATGGAGATTAGAGGAGAAAGAAGAAACTCACACTTTTAACATACAGAAAGTGAAATAACGACACAAATCATATTCATAAATAAAACCATCAGTCCTATACATATTCATTCTAGTGAAGTGATCAGATGGGAGCTAGAAGGCTTTGAATCCTCCCTTAATAACTTTTTTCTGGTTATAACACTTATTCATTCGCGTTTATGGTTAGCACAAAAACACAAATCGTGTAGCTAGACCAAACGAACATGTTCATAAACGATCCTATCTCGTGAGGTATTGGTATATAACATGAGTCAATATTATGATCGTATTTCTCCGTCTGTGATATGGAGGAATACGATCATTTACCAACGTAATCATCGTTGGTCAACGGAGTTCGTATATGATACAAAGAAATATGGTTGTAATACTGAGCCGTGCGATATACCAGAATACGCTTGTTTCCAAGTTAATATACATTTCGTGTTTTTCATCCTGAGTAGGGATAATGTAGTATATTATTATATAATAATATCCAATTGTCTTAAGGGTAATAAAAGAAAATGTTTACATATACACATCTTCAATATTTTTGTTGAATTTCTGAAATAGTCATATTGCATGATATATATCGTACTTAGGGCATACTAAAAGTTCTGACCACGATGTTTAAAGAATCTTTTCGGATAAGGAGACCTATTAAAAAATGAAAAACCAAATATACCATATTGTAGAGTTTTTTGAGGTACGTCGAATGGTATATAGTAAATCGTGTTTTCATAAGACTTTAGTATTAGTCGAAAGTATTTATAAAATATTTTTTCTCATATATGATTTTGTAGAGTTTTTGATGGGCTACAACCTTCTATATGTAGCATCTCCGATCATCTTGCCAGTGTGTGTGTGTAGTCATCTATTAGTAAATTGACTCTTAAGTTCTTCAAAGTCTTATGAAAATAGGATTTACTATATTACCATTCGACACGTCTCAAAAAGCTCTACAACATGGTATATTTGGTTTTTCATTTCTCAATAGGTTCCCTTATCCGAAAAGATTCGTTAAACGCCATGGTCAGAACTTTTGGAATGCCCTAAATATCGAACTCTATCCAGTCAACTAGACAGTGTTTAGTTAGCTTTCTTAATCTATAAGGAACGACATTATTCTAACGAAAGCTCATTGATCTGATTCAGCTGGTGTCAGGTTTTTGTGCCGTATACTATTTGTCAACTCTTTCCAAATGTTGATATTCACTGTCATCAGAGATTTAAATTATCGTTTTTGGAAGAAAATACTTAGATAAAAGAATATTTCTATTGAATTGAAAGCATCAATTCATGATACATTTTAAATTTAGATTCATATAGACATTCCGCGTATGTCGCCATTAATGGCAATATTCCAACAAGTTGTTGTACAAGAATTATTTGAACGTATTTTATTTATTTGGGCTATTCGTCATCCAGCCAGTGGTTACGTTCAAGGTATAAATGATCTTATATTACCATTTTTTGTTGTTTTTCTTTCGGAATTTATTGACAATGGTAAGTTAAATATAATCTTTTAATTAATAAGAAAAACTTAATTAAAAATTCTAGATGTTGATATTGAAAATTTTGATATTAGTTCATTATCTGACACAAATCGACGTATTATTGAAGCTGATAGTTACTGGGCGACATCATATTTACTTGAAGGTATTCAAGATAATTATACATTTGCTCAACCTGGTATTCAATATAAAGTTCGAACGTTAGAAGAACTTATTAAACGTATTGATGGTTTGTTTATGAAAAAATATTTCTTTTTGTTTTTATTTTCAAGAATATTTTGTTTTTCTAGAACCACTTTATCGACATTTAAAAAGTCAAAATATTGAATTTTTACAATTTGCATTTCGTTGGATGAATAATTTACTTATGAGAGAATTACCTGTAAGATGTACGATTCGTCTTTGGGATACATATCTTGTATGTTGGATTTTTGTTTTTTTCTTTTTTTTTATCAATTACAAACAAACTTCAATCTTTTTCTTATTTAGGCTGAACAAGATGGTTTCTCGCATTTCCATTTGTATATATGTGCAGCATTTCTTATTCGTTTTTCAAAAGATCTCTTACGAGAAAAAGATTTTCATGTAAAAATAAGAATAAAAAAAAAAAAAAGAAATAAAAGTTCATTTTTTATTTTATTTACAAATTAAATAGGGTTTATTACTTCTTCTTCAAAATTTACCAACACAATCATGGACAAGTGATGATATAAGTATATTAACAGCTGAAGCATATCAATTAAAAGTTATGTTTGCAAATGCTCCACGACATTTATCAAATTCATGAACAGTTTTTCAACATGCGTTTGATTTAATTAATATAATTATTATCTTTTCTCTTACACCATTGATCTCTTCATAATTCATTAATCTGAAAAAAAAAAATCTCGAGTGATATATTTTCGCTTTTTTTATATTAAAAACAAATAATTAATATAATTCTTTTCTTTCTTTTTTTCTTTGTTATAGACCTTTGTTTTGCAATAGTTAATTGTTATGTACTTGATATTAAATTTTTTTCTACATATATAAATAACTTGGTTAGAAAATTGATACTTAATTATTTTTTGTTTTATTCTTTGTATATTCATAGGAAAAGTGTTTAGGGTATGTTATGAAGCAAATATTGATTTTTCTTTTTTCGTTTGATTAGATGCATGCTATCTTTCATTCATTGATCATATATTTAATTGTAATCTAAAGATAATTAGACATCTGGTGATTAGAGCTTCTCGTAGCAATAAATCATTTTTAATTTATCTTATAAGGTGGTTCGTATTGCAATAAGAGAAAATTTAAAAGATGTATGGTGATGAGTCTTTCTCCTTGGATTAGTATGAGTATGTGATAGTAAAGGTTTCAATAAAATAGTGTTGTCCTTCTCAAATTACCTTGAAAAATGACTTATTTTACACAAATAAAGTTCTCAATGGGATTAGTTGATTGAGAAAGTATTCAATCTTCTATACTCAAATATTCATAGTAGAAGTTCTGTTATACAAAAAAAAATAAACAAACGTTGTTTTTATCTTTATATCTAAGAATGGAAGATTCTAGAAGATTTTATAGTTTCTCAATAAAATTAGTCGCACAGAGAACATTATTTATTTAAAGTTTGAACTCGAAAGTTGATTCTAAAAGTGGTCTAAGAGAGAATGTGGCATTCCATTGAGAAATTCATTGGCAATGGTGCTAAATCAAGAAGAAAAATTCATGAATCTGAATCCCTTCAGACAATTTCTAATCTCAATAGTATCTGTCTAACGAGGTAAGATTTATTATTTTGCTAGGTTCTCTCATTAGATTGATTGATATCTTAAAAAAAAAAGATTATTTTGATATACGCTTGAGTCAGTAGTTTCGTGTCTATCCGAAACTATCGTGAATAGAAGCCGGATATACAGTCAGGCGACAATAATAAGAGAATTCTCTTGTTCCAAACAAAATTAAATAAAACCTATGAAGAGAAACTTTGACATTTATTATCGTAATGTATTTATAGACGGTATTCAGATATTAAAATGAAAACAAAAATGTCACTTTCAACATTCACTATTATTGATTCTTCTATGAATAGTATATAACGTTTGACGGAAATACTCATCTTCTTTTAGTATGTTTAATTTTTATCTCAGAGAAATACTTGAATGTCTTAAGTTCACCATGAGTCATGTTCATACTATAGAATTTTTAGACATTTCGAAAGAAATAAAAGTATCTAAAAGGAATGACATTTTTATAAATTTTTGAAATTTATTAACAAATGACTAAATTAATATGTAAAAAAAATAAATCATTATGTAAATTTCATTGTGATGATATTTGATCTCATGATAGAAAATATGAAAAAAAAGAATCATTAGTCATTAGAAATTATTTGACTATAGATGTAAACTTGAACAAGTCATTGATTAAGTTGATGTCAACAACGGAAGAGAATAATGAATGAAAGAAAAATGAGCTTTCTATTAATGTTGTTCTATTTCCTGTTATACAGAAAGAAAAGAAAACCAATCACTCTTTTTTTTCTCTCTTAAGTAAAAAAAAAAAGAGGCCTCATAGAAATATTTCACAGTCACAGAAAGAAAAAAAAGCATCATGTTCATTCTATGGAATAGATCAGAAAATATTGTTCTGAATTCTTTTTTTTTTTTTGTTTTAGATTTTTCTATTATATTTTCACGAATTAAATCATTAAAAAATGTCAAACGTCGGAAACAAACAGAAATTAATTGAACAACTACGTGCTGAAGCAAATTTCGATCGTATTAAAGTATCAGTTGCATGTAAAGATTTAATTAAATATTGTCAAGATCATGAAAGTGGAGATGTTTTAGTTGTTGGTTGGGATAAATTTCATATAGATAATCCGTTTAAAGAAAAACAAATATGTGTTATGTTATGACTACGATATATTGTCTTATTCATTTATTTAATCAAACATATTCTTAATATTCTCCTACGTTATTGGCGTCATCATTGGAATTGAATAAATATTTATTTGTACTTTCCTTCTTTGTGCAATCTTCTATATTCTATTTGCTGTGAGCGTATATTACCTTCTGCTTTTTCTTTTATGTATCTATGCATGTTGTGCATCATTCTGCAAAGGTTATTGCCTTTGTTAGTTTTATATCAAAATTATGGATACTAATAAAAAGAATGACATGTTTCATATTAATGACTCTATGTTACCTATCAAACTGTAGACAAACTATTCAAATTTGTCTAGTTTTGTATTTTCATGTCAATATTAGAATAATCAATTCATATTGTTCTAATCAAAGTGCGCTGATAAGATTACAATAACCATATTATGTGCAAAAAATTTAGCTTTGAATGACGTTTTTTTGCATAAATTTTTTTCAATAAATTGTTTTTTATCGTGTGCGTAAATATTCTCAATGTGATATAGTAAAATAGTAAGAATAATACGTAAAAAAAAAGTGCTTGATTATAATTTCATGTGTTTGATAAGTGTGTACATGTGAATCGACTTTTTTTTGTTCTTTCTCTTATTGAATTAGTAATGAACAGATAAAATTAATCAAATAAATATATGAAATTATATTCATTCTGATAGATTCTTAACGGATATATCAATTAAAACAAAATAGAAATAAAGAAATCTATAATGAAATAAGTTTTTAATTTACATCAGAATGTTTGTTTTCTTTTTTATAATAGATAGAATTATATATGTAATATGAAAGCTCATATTTGATCATCATCTGTTCAATCTTCTGTTTCGATTATTTGAACAAACGATAATTAAATTTCATTGTACTTATTATATATGATAAATGCATTATAGAAACATGGTGTCGATATATTTGATTGTTTTACTGCATAATAGATTCGGTCGAGTAGATGATTCATTAATGGAAGATAAAAGTTTTTGCTTTTATAAATCACTATAAAAGCGTTTTTTTTTCTTCGCAAACTAGACAGTTTTAATACTGATGATTCTCTTCAATGGAAATTTATCATGGAAAAAAATTTTTTTTTTTATTAAGTCATATTGATATTAAGTTCTGTTATGGGCACAAAATTGGTTAATTATTTAGTGTGATGATTTGCATAGATGTATTTGTATATCCTACGATTTATAGTAAATATATTTCGTATAGATATAAGAAATAACAACACGAATATAACGTATGAAGCAGATTAAGTATATAGTTAATAAAAAAATGTTCATATCTGATGAATATTTAATCAAGATACAAACCAAATGTAGGATTTGTAGTCTTATGAAGTTTTTTATTCACTGATTAATGCCAGGAAAAATAAAACATATGGAAGTAAATAATGAAAAGTGCTATAATAGTGAAACAGAACTGTCATATCATTTCTATACTGATTAAAAGGTAGATATGACTAAACAAAGGTTGAATTTGATTGTCAGAGAGTAAAAGTGTAGAATGACTCATGATAGTATATCGACTACTCTGATCTGACCGTTTAGTTGACTAATATCGATATAGATAAGGAATAAATCCTATCGGTTACAATTCGAGATAGAGCAACTTAATGAAGACTTGCTTTTTGATTTTTGTGTTCTTGAAATGAGAATTTTTAATTTAATTTTGCAAAGAAATTAGCGTTCATTTGTTTAGTTTCAATCCTCAGAATAGATCATCAAAAATTGATTCATTCTATTCTCCATACTTTCTCTACAGAATTTCTAAAAAGTCGGTTACTACTGCAATCTCAACAGAAGTACATAAGTGCGTAGCAAAATGTAGAAAAAAAGATGTGATTTCGTTTCTTTACTTTATAAACTCTATTATCAATTAAGTGTATATATGAAATTCCCTTTTAAATTACAATAAATATCAGTTTATTTTCTTTATTCATCTTTTTATTAAATGTAAATCAAAACTCACAAAAAATATTCAATAGACAAAATGCGAGAATAAAATATTTTTCAAAGAAAAAAAAACGTAACGTTCAAATGTATTATTTGATTTATAAACAATGTCAAGATTAAACATGTTATGATGATGATGAATTATTCGTTGATTTTGATGATTCAACATGAGTTTTATTAGTTGCTGCTGCTTTCGTTGTAATAACCTTTTATTATAATATATAATTAGAAAATTTCAATTAATAAAATGAAAAATATAAAAGAACATACTGTAGTTGTAGTTGATGCAAGACGATGTGAAGCATCTTCTTGTCCAAGTGCAACAACTCGTTCAGCAATATCATCTGTCATAAAATCAAATAAATTAATCATATATATGATTCAATAGAAATCTTTACTAATTTTTGCATGAGTTTGAGCTTGAGCTTCTCTAAGAACACCCTATAGAAAAAGAAAAAAGTTATTTAAGAAAATCAGATTTTTTTAATATTAACATACCATCTTTAAACGATTAGCTTCTTCATTAAGATCATCAATACGTTGACGTGCTGCTGCAAGAATAAGTTCTTGTCGATGATTAAGTTCTTTTTCAAGTTGAGCAAGTAACGTTGCTTTTTCAACATCAAGTTTAGCAATATGTTCTTGAATGTTAAGTTTAAAATTATGCTCAATTTCTAACAAGAGACAAGAAAAAAAAATAATTTCATTGAAAATAAAATTGATTAAATAAATACCAGCTGTACGTAAATTAGCATCAGTAAGAAGTTGTTGTTGATGTCCTTGTGTTTCAGCAACAATTTTTTTAATTGATTCAGCAACAGCTTCGTTAATTTCTTCATTACGTTTACGTGAATATTCATCAATTTGACGATGTGTTGATCCTTAAATAAAATAAAATAAAAAATAAGATTTTCTTTTACTTCCATTTGATTAGATATACCAAGTCGAGCCATAAGATCAGTTATCTTTTTTTCATTTTCCATCTTAACTTTTGATTGCGTTTCAGTTTGAACAACTGATTGTACATGAACATTTTCAGCTTGTGTTGAATGTATTTTAGTTGATCCAGAGTTTGATGAAACATTCATAGTAGAGGTAGTTACATGAGACATTATCGATTGATTTTAATGTATCGTTATATGAATAAAATGTTTATGATAGATAAATGTAACAAGAGAAGGCAAATAGTAGAACTATATATAAGAACAAATATGTTTTTATGTAGGCCTCGATCACGTTTTTGTTTCTCTTCTAACGATACATAGTTCATGCCATTCTCGATAATCGTTTGACCTTTTGTTATACTCTTGTCAAATAGTGATAAAATCTCGTTTAAGTGTATCACGCAATTGTAGTAAATATGTACGCCATTGCAATGGGATGGACTGAAAAACGTACGTGTCGCATTAGTGAATATCTATGTTAAGGACAAAAATAGAATCATATTCATTTAAATTTTTTACATATATTCGTTTGAAAA